AAACATTTTTTTAAATTTGAAATTTGGAGGCCTCGCCTTTCTACTCCCACTGAGCTTCACCCCACTCCCACCATCTCTTAAAGCATTTTAAAGGGAAGCAGATGAATGTCACACCCCATTTCTGCCAAAAGGTAAGTGTTTGAGGAGCAGTGGTGTCACCCTCACTTAGGGTGTCACCTGGTGCAGTCCACACATCCCTACTGATGCTATTGCATCAAGGGCTGGGAAACACTGGCCAAACTGTTATAGAGGGAACAAGACAAATAGTGCAAGGACCCAACAATAGGAGAGAAAAAACTTTACACAGGCAGCTGGGGGTATGTCTCATGATCTTAGCCAGGGGTAGGCAACCTAAGGCCCGGGGGCCGGATGCGGGCCCCCGAGGCCCTGCTGCCGCCACCCCCTGCCATGATGATATTGATTATTGTTGTTATTACTTGTTCTTGGGGTTTTCATGGCAAAATTTCCACAGGGGTTTTGCCATGGTTTTTCTGGGGCTGAGAGAGTGTGCATGCATATTTTTTATTTTTAAAAAAAATTAAATTTTTTAATTTATTTATTTATTTGTTTGTTTTTGGTGCTTCGGCCCCCCAATTGTCTGAGGGACAGTAACCCAGCCTCCGGCTCAAAAAGGTTGCCTACCCCTGATCTTAGCTGTCTCTACGTTATTGCACAGAGCATAGAAAATAAACAAGATGAACTTGAATTCCCAGCACAACAAAATAATAGTAATAATAATAATAATAAATTTTATTTATATACTGCCCATTGGTGACCCAATCCAGGCGGTTCACAACATTAAAACAAATACAATATAATAGGCATCACTGAAACCAGGTGGAATGAGTCGCATGACTGGAATGTAGGAATACAGGAGTATAACCTTTTTAAGAGAAACAGGCCAAACAGGAAAAGAGGAGGAATAGCATATCAAATTTGCAGATGACACCAAATTAGGAGAAATAGTTGATAACCCAGAGGACAGGATTAAATTCAAAATGACCTAAATAGATTAGAAAGGTGGGCCAAAGCTAACAAAATGAATTTCAACAGGGAGAAATGTAAGGTACTGCACTTAGGGCAAAAAAAAAATGAAATGCATAGATATAAGATGGGGGACATCTGGTTTAACAAGACTATGTGTGAAAGGGATCTAAGAATCCTAGTATACCACAAGGTGAACATGAATCAATAGTGTTGATGCGGCATCTAAAAGGGCCAATGCAATTCTAGGCTGCATCAACACAAGTATAGTGTCAAGATCAAGGGAAATAATAGTGCCACTCTATTCTGCTTTGGTCAGGCCTCAACTGAAATATTGTGTCCAATTCTAGGCACAACAATTCCAAAATGATGTGGACAAGCTGGAGTGTGTCCAATGGAGGGGGACTAAAATGGTGACAGGTCTGATAACCATGCCCTAGGAGAAGTGACTTAAGGAGTTGGGTATGTTTAGCCTGGAGAAATGAAGGTGAAGAGGTGATATGATAGCCCTGTTTAAACATTTGAAGGAATGTCATATTGAGGATGGAGCAAACTTGTTTTCTGCTGTTCCAGAGAATAGGACTCGGAACAATGTATGCAAGGTACAGGAAAAGAGATTCCACCTCAACATTAGGAAAAACGTCATGACAGTACCGAGGACATGGACAAGCTGCTTGGTAAGCTGAGGAAGACGACC